TGTGGATGCCTCAGGAAAACCAGGGGTTCTGGGGTCTGGTTTGAAAGATAGTCTTAGAAGTTGAGTTCTGATAAAAGGAAAAATTTCATTCTTTATGAACTGCAATATCTTTTGTGCAGACACATAATATATAAATTAGATTTACCAAATTACACATAATTAGATAAATTATTTCTCAATTTGTGAGGTTCGGGGTTTTTTGTTTGTTTAAAAGAGACTTTTGCTATAGTGCGTGTGCGCTCACTAGAGAGACAGAGAGAGATAGAAAGTGAGAAATTACCACCCCAGGAGGTTGACCACACTGCAATCCGTTCTTCTCCATCCTCCTCTCAGGATTTTGGGCACGCACACGCACCCAGCATGAGTTTTAAGCTGCCAGGTTCAGGACTCGAATTGCGGTCAACTATGTGGGAGTCCAGTAACATAACCATTACACCATCTGCTGGTCCCCGTGGGGTCAGATTTGTAATGACTGCCTCTCCTGTCTCTTGTCACCATTGGTGGATTATGCACAAACACAAAGACATACACTGTCAAATAATGTGAACAGGTAACTGACCAGTATCTTTGTTTATTTCTTTCAGCTATTCTGCCTGTTGACCCTAAGGAAGCTTCTTCAGCAGGTCAGAGTGGGAATTTTTTGTGTACATTTGCCTTTATGTCGTACTATTGAATTTCTTTCCCCTCCTGCTTTATTTTACCTTAAAGTTCTTTCACCTAAAGTAAAAAATATCAATTACTCTCATAACTCTGGGATCTTACGTTTTTAATATTTTCACTGCCCATCTTAGTATTTGTTGATTTTATTTGCACATAGATAGACATAGATATACACACAAATACATACACCAGTATGTGTACATATAGAGACATGCTGTCAGGCTGACTAGTACTTATTTTCGTTTCTGATTACTATGACTACTATTAATTCTATAAAAGATTATTTGAAAAATGAAAAGTCTGCGTATTTTTTATTTAGATTTTTTTTGGTTTTTTTTTGAGAGATGTTTTGCTATAGGGCGTGTATGCTCTCCAGAAAGACAGAGAGAGACAGAGAGACAGAAAGCAAGAAATAACCCTCCACCCCACACCACACCAGAGAGATGACCATGCCACAATCCCTTCTCCTCCATTCTCCTCTCGGGATCTTGGACTTGTACGCATGTGTGCCCGGCATGAGTTTAAGACACCAGATTCAGGACTCAAACTGCAGTCGACTACATGGGAGTCCAGTGACATAGCCATTACACCAGCTGCGGGTCCCAAGCGTATGTGTGTTTTTATATTATCCTACACATTTTTTTTTCTTGACCAACTTAATTTTTATGTATTCCTGACTCAACATAAATATGATGAATGACTGGGCTGCCCTTATAGCCTAATGGTTAAGGAAGATTGATCCCACGTGAGATCTGTGGCTTGACTCCTGACCACTTCTGGTGGTTTGCAAATCATGCCAAGTGAGTGTGTGTGCATGTCCCAAATCCCAACCCGATGGAAAAAGGAAGGAGACGGGTTTGTGGCATCACTTTGCATTGAGAAGTGCTTTCTCCCTCTGTCTCTGTTCTTTGTCTCTCTCTCTCTTGAATATATCTCTCTTGGGCGTATCAGGTGAATGTATACTTTTTCTAACAATTAAAAAGGAAAAAAAAAGTTGAATTATCTCTAGAATTGTGGGGCTTTAGTATCATGCTTTAGTGTCTTTATTTTTCCCCTCCTCATCAACTTAACTTTCTTCCCCCATACTCACTTGTGCATGCCAGAGAGACAGAGAGAACAAGAGGGAAAAAGTGCCTCTCCAAAGAGGCATAGTGATGGCACAGTCTTGTAGTCCTCCACTTTCCCAATCTGACAAGATTCTGGGCATGCACATGTAGGCACCTGGCTTGTCCTTTAGCCATCACAACTGGGTTCAAGCCCCAGCTGGCCATGTGACATTTGGCTGCATTAAGCCCTGGGCTCTGGGGCTGGGGTTTCAACAGCTCAACTTTTGAATTTCCCTGGTTTGAGGTAGAAAATCAGAATGGTTAGATGCTGCAGATGCACTGGATAATATTTTGAATTTCTCTCTCATTTCCTATGAGTCATATTAACACAGCAAAGTGTTGGTTTGTAGGAGATGGCTATTGACTAGAGGATACAGTATGTGCTCAACCATTTCCACGAACACGTTTCCTTCATTTGTGTGTCTATTGTTTCTAATGATGGAGGAAGCATGCTATCGGGTCCTTTCCAGAATTTTAGCCTTTCAGTTCTTGCTAGTAGCTAATAACAAGAACATGACAGTCTAGCTACAGAAAGTGTTGGGCTCTGTTCCGCACACATTTTGTGCCGTTGCTGTTTAAGCTTCGTTCCGCACCGTTCCTGTGAAGTGGCCCGATGCGTTTTCCCATTTCACAGTTGAAGGCAATGAGCTAAAGTTCGTTAGGACTCTTACGTGTGTTACACAGCTAGATCAGGAATTCAGAACAGGGTGTAAGCATGCTAAAACATTGTCACAGCTACATTTTTGCCCATTGAACTGTCTTATTAAAAATGCACCCTTCTTTTCAATAGTTAGTATATTCCCAGTGAGTTAATTAGAGGTGATCACCCTGTCTTAGAAGCTGAATTCTGAGCTGTCTTTCTCTTGGTGGTAGTAGTGGTTGTGCTAAGTGTTTACTTTGGAATCTTGGTGGTGATGGGTGTCACTTCAGAGCAGGTCATCAGAAATGAATATTCATGAGCCTCTCCACATTAATATTTGTCTTATCCCATCAACAGACCAAGCACAACTAAGGAGGCAACGTCTCTGGGAGGCACTGCGGCTGCAGCTCATCAACGCCTCCGCATACCACACGTACCTCCTCCTGCTCCTCAAGAGTGTGGTCTACTTTTCCATCATCACCTTCTGTCTGTTTAGAAGAGCAGCTGTCTGTGGCACTGGAAATAGTGTGTCATAGACAGAGGCAAAAGCAGGTCATCTCTTCATGGTCTATTGTTCTTGAAAGTGTCCACTGAAGATCTAGCTGGACTTTCTGCCTCCATTGGGCTCTTCCAGTTTCCATGTGCACTATTCTCTCATGTAGTTATAGCATAGTGGTCTTCCTAACAGGGGGCAAACTGAGGAGATCTCTCTGTAACAATAAGAAGGAGCGGCCCACGGCAGCCTGACACCACTCTCTGCGTCCCCTTCATCAGCTCTGTTGGCCCAGCCACGTGGTCGCAGCCCTAGTTCAGACTGCACACTGCTGCTAGTCACGTCCCTCAGGGCCCTTTAACCAGGTAACTCCCAGGAAGCCTTCTGTTTAACAAATACTGAAGCGCCATCTTTGCTACTTAAATGCCAAGCTTTGCTTTTTTTTATTTTAAAATTTTTTTAAAATAATAGACACAATTAAAAATAAGTTGAAAGATTGCCTTTGCTCACGTGTATTTGAATTTGATGAAATTAATGGAAAGCCCAAGGTCAGGAGCAGCCGACATCCAAGCTACGACACTGAGCGTTGGTCGTAATCACGGCACCACACCACTTCGTTCATCCTTCTCTGAGGTAGTGGTTGTTCTCCGGGACACTGGGTCCGTGAGAAGCCACAACCGAATGAAGTAGCCCAAGTTGCTTCTCTTTCGAAGGTCACCTATGGGCCAATTTATTTGGTCTGGAGAATTCAATGGTGACTGGACACTGGCTTATGTGCCCTGCACTGTGTGGGGTCAGTCCTGTCCTAGTTTTGTAAACGCCGTGGTTCCTGATCCTCACAATGTGCACACACACACACACACACACACACAAGCACTGACAGTGATCTCACAGAGAAGAGTGATGGAGTTGTTTAGTCCATAGGGTCTGGTCTCAGAGAGCCTGAGTTTGAATCTTGGGTCTAGTATTTGGTATCTGTGGGATCTCAGGTAACTTACAACACTATGAGCCAGAATGTCCTCATTTAAAAGTAAGTTATGAATGGGGTCAGTACGTGTAAATTGGTTAGGACATTGGACTCCCACATGACCGACTGCAGTTTGAGTCCTAGAGCTGGTGACTTGTTTTCTCACTTTCTCTCTCTCTCGCTGGTATGTGCGTGAGCCCTACAACAAATTAAAATTTAAAAAAATTAAAGAAAATTAAGGTATAAGACCTACCTCCTGGGGCTCTGTGATTAGGTGAGTTGACAATACGTGGTGCATGTAAGTCCTCCAGAGCATCAATGTGTACTCCTGGTGGTTCCACGTTAGAGACAGTCGACACCATGCACACACACACACACACACACATACACACACATGTACACATGTACACACACACACACACCCTATGTGGTGCACATAAGTCCTCCAGAGTATTGGTGTGTGCTCCTGGTGGCTCCACTATAGAGACAGTCAATACCACACACACACACACACACACACACACACAAATGCATACATGTGCACACACACACCCTACATGGGGCACAGAAGTCCTCCAGAGCATCAATGTGTGCTCCTAGTGGCTCCACGTTAGAGACAGTCGATACCACACGCACACAAACACATGTACATGTACACATACACACGTACACACACATGCATGTGTATGAACAAACGCACATGCACGTGTGTACACACACATGCACACACCCATGCACGTGCACACACACACACACAAGCACTTGCAGTGGTCTCTATTTCACTGCTCTGCAGAAAGGTTAGCTGGGATGGAACGGGATCAGTGAATTCTCCCAGTCCAACAGTAGCAGTCCATAGTAGGTGGAGAGAAGACAGTTCCAGCTGGAGCCACTGTGAGGAGCTGTCCTGATACAAAGGGTGTCCCTTCACTGTTTTTAACAGGAAAAAGTGAAACTGAACAAATCAAAACATGCATGACCTTTTTTTAAAAAATTATTATTTATTTAATTTAATACAAAGCCTTGGCATTAGCAATTTTATAAAAAAAATAGAATGTACTAAAAGTAATTGCTTGTGTGGCGTGATTGGTAAATGATGCACAAAATAGGTATTTTTCCCTTCACGGCAATCAGTCTAAAAGCGTTTTTTTTCTTCAAAACCATTCTAG